AAATCTGCCAGACATCTTATATTTCACGCTCACTCATTCTTTCTTAAACTCATCACGCTCATGGCTTCCATTGCCGTGGACGGAACTGTCATAGTTTTCTTTGTACCTTGGTTACAATTTTATTTTATGTTTTTTGAGAGAGAAAAAGAGTGCCAGTGGGGTGGGAGGGTCAGAGGGAGAGGGAGAGAGAGAATCTAAAGCAGGCTCCACGATCAGCATGGAGCCCGAAGTGGGGCTCGATCTCATGACCCTGAGATCATGACCTGAGCTGAAATCAAGATCGGATGCTTAACCAACGGAACCACCCAGGTGCCCTGGTTATCATGTCTTCTGTATCTCCTCACTGGGCTCCTTATCCTACCCTGGTCTGTGAAAAGCCAATGATTTCCAGGGATCCGTCCTTGGTCCACTAATCTCTTAGTGAATCTTACTGGTTATTTTTATCTACTATTATAGTTTTGCCTTTATGTAGATGACCCTCAAACCTCTGTCTTCAACCCAGAAACTTCTCCAGGCTTAGATTTGTCTACCTAAATTTTAATTGAACACCCCCTGCTGAATATTCTACAAGCTCTTCCAAGTCTGCAAGACCTTAAGTGTTCCCTGTCTTACTACTACAATGCATGTTTACCTTTGGTGTTTTCTACCTTCATTGTACTATGATTCACTCTGTTACTTAGCTTAGAAGCCTGAAAATGTATCCTTCAGAGAGCTGCTAGTGTGAGCTAACAAGAACACAAATGTTTCCATACCATTCCCCTGCATGGAATAATCCATAGTTGCCATTAAAATAGTATTTTTCTCTTATAATATAGTAAAATTATTTATAAAAATAATCCATAACTTGGGGCACCTGAGTGGCTCAGTTGGTTAAGCATCTGCCTTCAGCTTGGGTCATGATCCCAGGGTCCTGGGATGGAGCCCTGCGGCGCCCGCTTCTCCTTCTCCCTGGGCTGCTACCCATGCTTGTGCTCTCTCTCTGTGTCAAATAAATAAAATCTTTAAAAAATTAAATCATAACTCAAAACCCTAAACACAGTACTCAAAATATGTTAAGGAAATAAAAACAGTTATGGTTGGCACCCTCTCCTGGAGCTTGGGGGGAAAAATAGAGGTTGTAGGATAAAGCCCTAGCCACATGTCTTCTCCCTTACTCCATTGCCAGTTGTGAGGTAGTCTGAGGAACTCATTTGGGTCAGCAGAGGAGCTGTTGAAAGCCAGTGAACTACAGAATAAAGTTCATTTCTTGGCAGGGCACACAAAACCCTTCAGGACGTGCTGCTCCTCTCCACCTTACCCCTCACATCCCAGCCATATGAAACTGAGGGCAGTTTCTCCAGACACCACACTGTTTCTCATTTCCTGCCTTCGCTTATGCTACCCCCTCATAAAGGACACCCCTTGAGCCTTTCCACTCATATCATGTGGCCATTTACTAAGCAGCTTTAAGATTTAAATCAGATGACATTTCATTCATTTATTGATCCAGTCAAACATCAGTGTTTGAACAAAATATTTGCTCTCGTGAAGCTCATAATTTTGTGGTGGGGAGACAGACGATAAGCAAACAAATATGCAAACCCCAGTGAATGAACTGCTTGAATCACCTATTAGCGCCATGTTGGCCATGTACTAGACACTCAAAAAAAAAAAAAAAAACCATGAGTGAGCATCTTAGAATTGTCATGCATAGTACTAAATGCTTTCATATGTCTGCTCCTTTTATTTCTCAAAATTATGTTAGGAAAATCAGTGTTATTCTGCCAACTTTGGTAGATGGGGAAACAAGGGCTCAGAGAGATTTACAAATTTACCTATGGTCATATAGCTGGAGTTGTCAGAATCTAAATAGAAATCCAGAAATATCTAATTTCGGAAACCAACCCTGTTCATGATAACATTGGCTTTCAGATGCTATAAAAAAAATAAATAAATAAAGGCTCCATCCCTAACTGAAGTCAATTCACATGTTCAGATCTCTCAGTCCTGGATGGATTTCTCTAAATTTTAGGAAGCTTAGAGGAAGCTTTACACTGTGGCACATTGGAATTCAAAAGGATTTCATCATGAGCAGTGAATCTGCAAAAATACACTGTTGGAGCCCCACTGATTTTAGCAAGAAGAGGGAGAGTCTCCTACAGCATCTGTTGGAATGAAATGGCTTTGAGGAGGTAGAGGAAACGCATAAATGCACAGGACACCTGGTATTCAAGGCATTCTTTGCTATCTAAGCACCAAATTAAAGCTTCAGTTATTCATTCTGAAAATGCTTATAGCTTTGCTGTAAGATCCTCCAATAATGCACGTGGGCTCCAAACATAATCACTAGCAAGTGATTTAGTAGTAATAGATGGTATAAGAATTTAGGGAGAATAAATAAACATGTTAAAAATAAGGCACTTGAGCACCTGGATGGCAGGTTACTGCTGCCCAGATGTGGAAAAACACTCTGTTCAGTGTGACAGACAGATAAAGACTTTCCCTATAGAGTCTGAGTAAATGCTCTTTCTGAACCTGCCAACATGAATTCCCAAGAGAAAACAAAACCAGAAAAGCTCAAGATCAGAGTTGATTCCAAATTATCCCTGTTTTGTTTATTGTTTAAATGGGAAGACTATCCGGGAATTTAGTGTAATCTGACAGGTATGATTTGCCATCAATGGAGAACTATCCCCTTAAGATTACTTCTTAATTGTTTCGTTAAAATTTAATAACATAAAAAACTGCTTCCTTGTAGGACAACACAGGAAAAATCATTTGTTGTTTTGTTTCATATATATATATATATATATATACGTGTATATATATATATGAAAATGTTTCCAGGCCACTGTGTGAAAAAGTCATTTTGAAAAAAAGATAAGATTTTTATTGTTACTATCTCAAAATATTGTAACATGTTTAAATATTTGTACTTATTTTATTTTTAGATCAGAGACTGCTGCTTTACCAGTTTGACTTGATTTTCTAAATTCTAAGAGCAAGTAACAATAAAAAGAACTTTAAAAGTTAGCTCAGGGCGCCTGGGTGGCTCAGTTGGTTAAGCGACTGCCTTCGGCTCAGGTCATGATCCTGGAGTCCTGGGATCGAGTCCCGCATCGGACTTCCTGCTCAGCAGGGAGTCTGCTTCTCCCTCTGACCCTCTTCCCTCTCGTGCTTTCTATCTCTCATTCTCTCTCTCTCTCAAATAAATAAATAAAATCTTTAAAAAAAATAAAAAAATAAAAGTTAGCTCAGCTACCATATATACTTATAATATGCATTTTGAAATTTCTTTTTTATGCACAATTTGACCAAACAATATATGTAATTCTATACCATAATTTCTTCACATAACATTAAATTACAAGCATCTTTCTACCACATTTACCATACGCCTCATATACCACCGAAAAGATAATCTATAGTTTTTTTTTTAAGATTTTATTTATTTGTCAGAGAGAGAGAGCACAGCAGGAGGGAGAGGCAGGGAGTGGGAGAAGCAGGCCCCCTGCAGAGCAGGGAGCCCGATGCCATGCGGGGCTTGATCCCAGATCCCCAGGGTCATGACCTGATCTGAAGGCAGATACTTAACCAACTGAGCCATCCAGGCACCCCAAGATAATCTATAGTTTACTTAATCTTGTTTTGGGACATTTAGATAATTTTTAGTTTTTTTCTGTACTATTATTACCATCTTTCCTAATCTTTGAGACATTTTTATATATTTACAAGTTTTCTCAATGATTCTAAAAATAAATTTACAGAGGGGCGCTTGGGTGGCTCAGTTAGTTAAAGCATCTGATTTCAGCTCTTTGGTTCAGGTCATGATCTCAGGGACCAGGGTTCAAGCTTCTCATCAGGGTCCTTGCTCAGTGGGAGTCTGCTTGTCCTCTGCCCCTTCCACTACTCATGCTCTCTCTCTCCCAAATAAATAAAAATTTTCAAATAAAATAAAATAAGCTTATTCTATTATAAGACTCTACTAGTCAACTTATTCTATTATTTGTCCCCATATTTTACCATGTATGGACACCTAAAGTCTTTGTTTACTTTGAATCATTAAACATATAACAATTATTTTTAAAACAATGGCATTTGTCAAATCTACTACCTGTCTTCACACCAATTCTGCAAGGCAAATATTGTTCTCATTTTACAGAGGAACTATTTAAAGTGTTTAAGTGATCTTTTCATGGCTTATTACAAAGGGTACCTACAAGGTGGCATGGGTGACAGGTATCAAAGAAGAGTAACAGTTCGGGTTTGTGGGCAGGAGACTGAATTCTAACTTGGATACATCAGATTTATGTTGCTTACAGGATACTCGGAAGCAGTTATATAATAGGAAGGTGCACACAGAAGTGGAACTTTGAAGAGAGTATTTTCTGAAGATACAATTTGGAAGTCCTCAGTTGATGGCAAAAGGGGGCAAGTGGAGAATCTTGGATTTGCAGATACATTTGCCAAGAAAAAAGCAAAGTGAAGAAAAAAAGGAGGAGAAAGTAAAAGAATAGTGGGTGATGTTTTAGAAATCAAGGAAGGAGATAATTTCAAGGTAGGACATGGATCACTTAGCAATAAAGATGCCTCTGGTGATCTTGGCTAAGAGAAGTTTCACTGGTGTTCTGGGGTGCAAGAGGGGTTTTCATGGGTTGACAAGCTGCTGTCCTAATTAACAGGAAGAATTTAGAGGACAAATGTGCAAAATGGGAAGGACATTTTGCTACTTTCCTAGAAACAATGTGGCAAAGCTCCTGCAGAGGTGGGTAGAAGGACCACATACCTTGCCATGGAGACTCTCAAAGGAGCCCTCGGAGTATGTACAGCCCTGTATTCAGCTCTGTTGTAGGAGAACTAGGCACAGGAACCTTCCTTCCTGTAGAGTGGATATGTCATGTCAATCAGGAAGGGCAACAGATAGGATGTCTCCATTAGCCTACTCGCCAATGACTAAACCCAATGCCAAGTGCTCTTATACCATCTACCCCATCCAAGCCATTATTTTTTTTTTTTGGCTGGGTACAGTATACTTTATTGATGGTACATGACAAGGTAGGGCTCCCCAAGCCCCTCCCCTTCTTCAGGGGGTCTGGGATGGAAACGGTGGAGGTCGGGAGATTCTCAGTGTTTTGCGGGATAAGTTGGGGCAGGGACTCCCCAGCAGCTGAGGGCCTCTCTCTTCCTCTTGCTCTCGCTGGGGCTGGTGGTCCAGGGGGCTCTTACTCCTTGGAGGCCATGTGGACCATAAGGTCCACCACCCGGTTGCTGTAGCCAAATTCATTGTCATACCAGGAAATGAGCTTGACATTTTCTATTGGTGGAAATACTAACAGCCAACTTAGGGGCTGCCTATGATGCTAGATATCCTATCTAGCATCCAACTGATGCTAGTCGTTGAGAGCAATGCCAGCCCCGGCATCGAAGGTGGAGGAGTGGGTGTCACTGTTGAAGTCGCAGGAGACGAACTGGTCCTCAGTGTACCCCAGGATGCCCTTGAGGGGGCCCTCTGACGCCTGCTTCACCACCTTCTTGATGTCGTCATATTTGGCAGCTTTCTCCAGGCGGCAGGTCAGATCCACGACAGACACGTTGGGGGTGGGGACACGGAAGGCCATGCCAGTGAGCTTCCCGTTCAGCTCAGGGATGACCTTGCCCACAGCCTTGGCAGCACCAGTGGAAGCAGGGATGATGTTCTGGGCAGCCCGTCGGCCGTCACGCCACAGCTTCCCAGAGGGACCGTCCACGGTCTTCTGGGTGGCAGTGATGGCATGGACGGTGGTCATGAGTCCCTCCACGATGCCGAAGTTGTCATGGATGACCTTGGCCAGAGGAGCCAAGCAGTTGGTGGTGCAGGAGGCGTTGCTGACAATCTTGAGGGAGTTGTCATACTTCTCGTGGCTCACACCCATCACGAACATGGGGGCGTCGGCAGAGGGAGCAGAGATGATGACCCTCTTGGCCCCGCCCTTCAAGTGGGCCCCAGCCTTCTCCATGGTGGTGAAGACCCCAGTGGACTCCACAACATACTCAGCACCAGCATCACCCCACTTGATGTTGGCGGGATCTCGCTCCTGGAAGATGGAGATGGACTTTCCATTGATGACAAGCTTCCCGTTCTCAGCCTTGACTGTACCGTGGAATTTGCCATGGGTGGAATCATACTGGAACATGTAGACCATGTAGTTGAGGTCAATGAAGGGATCATTGATGGCGACAATATCCACTTTGCCAGAGTTAAAAGCAGCCCTGGTGACCGGGCGCCCAATACGGCCAAATCCGTTCACTCCGACCTTCACCATCGTGTCTCAGGGACGCGGCTGGCACTGCACCAGAATTCGCGGCTGTCTGTCGAACGGGGAGGAGCAGAGAGCCCCATCCAAGCCATTATTAACTATTAAAACATACTCAACTATGAAATCTGAAACATACTCAACATGCTAAAATAAGAACTATTAAGAAATATAAGAAACAAAACAATTACTTATGACCATGACTGATGCTCTAGCCCATGGGCATGCCATTTCTGTTTGCCAGGAGCCAGGAGAAAATGGTAGGATTTTGGTTTTGAGCAGTTTACAACTGGTTAAGTTATATCATTCCTATATCTCTTTTTTATAAAAATCCAAAAATTGCAGAGTATTAAGGAAAGTTCTGCATACACTAAACCCCCCCAATCACATGACCTTTCAACAGCTCAACCCTTATGTTCACCCCCAGCTGCATTGCCACATAAGGCGTTCAGAGGAAAAGTGCAATTGTGATTTCTTGATGCCCAGGGATAATTACTACTACTATTCAAATCTGAAGGAGATAATTCTTTGTTCTGACTTTCTTTTGTTGAGCAAAAAAGAACTATTTATATCTCAACTTTCCTTATGTTTTATATTCAAAGCGTTATCAGAACTACCAAGATCACATGAAGCCTGTGGCATTTTCTTATACGCGACATTCAATACTGCACTGAGTAAAAACACTTCTAATTCCATGAAATGAACAAATTTAATACCAAGTACAAAGACATGTGTTTGCCATAATAAACCTCTCCTCTTTCCCAAGACATTCCAGAATGTTGGACTACTAGATGTCATCTACAACTCCGGAGTCTTGAAGAGGCTGCATTAAGGATATGCTGCAGGTGGAGCTTGCTGAATCCCTCCCTTGGATGACAGGTGTTCCTTAGCCTACTCACTGTCGTATTCATCCAGGCGTTCATTTGAGAAAAAAATAATTGAACACCAGCTTTGCACACTGTTTTTTTAAGACGTTGAACATTCAGAAGAGTGAAAATAATTCCTGCCATGAAGTCAATCACAGTCCAGTGGGAGAAGGTGATCACTACAGCTTGAGAATGCCATAGTTTGGACAGAAAGTGCTTTTGCTACCCAGGATGCAGGTGATAGGTGCATGGGAGTGTTCCAGAGCGCTCCCCCAGAGGCCTGATGGGGGGGGTGGGCAACTTGGGCTGGAGTTTGCTGCAGATCATGTCTTCAAGATATTTCTCTTTTTAAAGATTTTATTTACTTTTCACTACATCTGTCTTTGGGGTAAATACCCAGTAGTGCAATTGCTGGGTCATAGGGTAGCTCTATTTTTAATTTTCTGAGGCATCTCTACACTGTTTTCCAAAGTGGCTGTACCAACTTGCATTCCCACCAACAGTGTAAGAGGGTTCCCCTTTCTCCACAACCCCTCCAACATTTGTTGTTTCTTGCCTTGTCAATTTCTGCCATTCTAACTGGTGTAAGGTGGTATCTCAATGTGGTTCTGATTTGGATTTCCCTGATGGCTAATGATGATGAAGATTTTTTCATGTGTCTGTTAGCCATTTGTGTGTCTTCTTCAGAGGAGTGTCTGTTCATGTCTTCTGCCCATTTTTTGACTTGATTATTTGTTTTTTGGGTGTTGAGTTTGAGAAGTTCTTTATAGATCTTGGATACCAGCCCTTTATCTGTAGTGTCATTTGCAAAAATCTTCTCCCATTCTGTGGGTTGCCTCTTTGTTTTGTTGACTGTTTCCTGTGCTGTACAGAAGCTTTTTATCTTGATGAAGTCCCAAAAGTTCATTTTTGCTTTTGTTTTACTAGCCTTTGGAGATGTATCTTGAAAGAAGTTGCTGTGGCTGATGTCAAAGAGGTTACTGCCTATGTTCTCCTCTAGGATTTTGATGGATTCCTGACTCACATTGAGGTCTTTCATTCATTTTGAGTTTATCTTGGTGTGTGGTGTTAGAGAATGGTCGAGTTTCATTCTTCTGCATGTGGCTGTCCAATTTTCCCAGCACCATTTATTGAAGAGACTGTCTTTTATCCATTGCATATTTTGTCCTGCTTTGTCAAAGACTATTTGACCAGAGTTGAGGGTCCATATCTGGGCTATCTATTCTGTTGCATTGGTCTATATGTCTGTTTTTGCCAAACTGTGGAAAGAGCCAAGATACCCTTCAACAGATAAGTGGATAAAGAAGATGTGGTCCATAAATACAATGGAATATTACTCAGCCATCAGAAAGGATGAATACCCAACTTTTACATCAACATGGATGGGACTGGAGGAGATTATGCTAAGTGATATAAGTCAAGCAGAGAAAGTCAATTATCATATGGTTTCACTTATTTGTGGAACATAAGCAATAGCACGGAGGGCATTAGGAGAAGGAAGGGAAAAATGAAGGGGGGGGGAATCGGAGGGAGAGATGAACCATGAGAGACTATGGACTCTGAGAAACAAGCTGAGGGTTCTAGAGGGAAGGGGTGTGGGGGGATGGGTTAGCCTGGTGATGGGTATTAAAGAGGGCACGTTCTGCATGGAGCACTGGGTGTTATATGCAAACAATGAATCATGGATCACCACATCAAAAACTAATGATGTCATGTATGGTGACTAACATAACATAATAAAATAAAATAAAAGAAAGGAACATAAACCTGAAAAAAAAAGATTTTATTTACTTATTTGAGAGAGAAAGATGCAGAGAGAGTATGCATGAGTGGAGGGAGGGGCAGAGGGAGAGGGAGAAGCAGACTCCCTGCTGAGTGCAGAGCCCAACATGGGGCTTGATCCCAGGACACAAGATCATGACCTGAGCCGAAGTCAGATGCTTAAATGACTGAGCCACCCAGGTGTCCCAAGATATTTCTGATTATCAACTTATTACATATAACTTTCTGCCATCAAGACACAAGTCTGGTCACAAGGAAAAAATAAAGAGGGGTGTCTGGGTGGCTCAGTTGGCTAAGCACTGGACTCGTGATTTTGGCTCAGGTCATAATCTCATGGGTCATGGGGTCAAGCTCACGTAGGGCTTCATGCTCAGGGGGAGTCTGCTTGAGTGTCTCTCTCCCTCTCTATCTGTCCTTCCCACTCATGGTATCTCTCTTTCCCTCTCTCTAAAATAAATAAATATTTAAACAAATAATAAAAAAATTAAAAGGGAACATTTCCCCTCAAAGGTATAAAAGACATTAATCAATACCCCACACAGACTGATGAGAAATAAACTCTATATCTAGACCTACACCTCTAAGTACAAAATCAATGATGATATAAAATAAATTGGTACCGAAAAATGTTACTATAAATGTTACGAATGTAAATTTTTTCTTTTACCAGAGGATGAACTCTCAACATAAATTTTCAAGTGAACATACAAATGCCTAGTTCTAAAAAAAATTGACAATATTGAAATGTAAGTGTTAAATATTAAAATAATTTTTTTAACATAGACTCTGAAGGGTAGCAGCCATATGATAATTTGTTTTTGTTTCTCCAGTGCATGTATTGTGTCTGCTACACAGTTGGTCAGGCTGTAAGCTGATCTGATTAATGTTTGCTGAAGGTTGAGAAATTGCTGGAAAGTCTCAGGCAACTGACTCTCCAGGATTTTGTGTATCTAATAAAATTTCAGGTTATTATATATTTCCCTTAATTGCATGATGAAAGAATACAGTGCTTTTTGGTACAAGAGTTGTTGAATCTATGCGTTAGTTACATGACAATATTTCAAAAGCATAATATTGGCCATTTTAATTTCCTGATTCTTTGTTTTCATTTCACAGCGATGTGAAATAGAGCACAGTAACATCATGATTGTGGAGAAATGACCTAGACGTCAAGACAAATTCTCCAAAAGGGAGATATTTGGCATGAGTACAAGGGACTTATTTAACAAACCAGTCAGAAAAATTGCAACTAAATGCCCATTATATGATATTGGACAAGCCTAGGGAATCAAGCGATGTTTTCAAAGAGGCTGCTGATAAAAATCACCCTCTTTAGCAAAATGAAATTATTCGATCCTTTTTACATACTTTGAAAAGTTGAAAACACTACACTGGGGTTTTGATTTCTACCACAATTAATGCAACATGGTTTAATTCACTCTTTTTTTTTTTTCAAGATTTTTCCATCTGTTGGTGCCATAAACCCTTGAGTGAACTTGGGGATTTTTGTATCATCTTGTTTCACAGACAATATGGCAAAGATAACAGTTAACTCCATTTATTTCTCTCTGCTAAGACTCTTGGCTGTAATCATCTGTTTACTCCTGGAAAACGGGGAGGAAATTATACACCACTTCAATCACACAGTTCTTTTTTCCCCTTTCCTCAAGCTTATAATGTGCATCTAATAAAATGTGCTGACATGTGAAATCCTAAACAAATATTCAATGAAGAATTATAGGTGCAAGCGTATCATCCTAGAGGAAATGGATGACAGAATGATATAATACACAGTCCTTTTCCTACTTGTTAAAATCTGGTTGGCCAGACATCCAAGTAACAATTCAAACAATAAATGATAATGTTCCCTAGCCACAGACTCTGATCTCCTGGCTCCAACGCCAATGCCAATGAATGGCCTATCTTATCAAGTCCTAAATCATAACATCGGGTGCCACAAAGTGGGCTTTGTCTCCTTAACCCAAGTATATGACGTATTTGAAACCCTGTAGATTCTACCATGTTAATCTATCTTTTATATCTGACTCCCTCCTTCCACTGACATCCTTGATTTCATCTCTTACATTACCAGCAGATGGATTTTTTTCCCCCAAATTAAAGCAGGATCCCATTATCTCCTGCCAATAATGGTGCTTGCCTATAGAATAAAATCCTAGCTCTTCCCACTGGTACCAAGAGCCCTCCACGGTCTCGTGTTACTTGCTGCTTTTGCTTCTCTCTCATGGTACTTCCCACCTAACCCCCCCTTTCAGCCACATCAAAATTCTGGAAGTTTCTGAACATTATGGGATGTTTTAATCATTCTGCTCTAATCGAGCAAACATTTGAATGGCATTAACCCCTCCTTCTCATTCATTCCTTTTTAAAAATTCTTATTCAACAAATATTTACTGAAGACCTAGTATGTGCCAGATTCTGGGCTAAGTCTTTGAAACCAAAAAACTGAATCACTTAAATGTGCAACATTCTAGGAGCTCAGGATCCTAAAGACAAGAGTGACATTGATCAGATAGTCATGACCTTAGCAGGACCTCAACTCCTGCCCTTCTTTGTACCACACTTTTATGTATTTCCCAATTATTTTACATGCAAAAAATTTAAAAACCAATGAGTTAATATAATCAATTTAAGATCTCAAGGATGAAATAAAATTAATAGCCTGAAATAACTCCACTTTCAAAGACAGATTTTGAACACTTACAAATGATAACTTAATAAAAAAACAAAGTGCTAGACAAGTAAATGTAGAATTTACCCTTGATAATGTGTGGGTGAAGGGCAGTTGAAAATTCACACAAAACTGTGACTCTGCAAAAACTTAAATAATAATAGCCTACTGCTGAGCAGAAATCCTACTGATAACATAAACATTCAATTAACACATATTTTGTTTCTTTTATGTATTCTACACTGTATTCTTACAATAAAATAAACTAGAGAAAAGGAAAGGTTATGAAAAAATCATAAGGAAGAGATAAGAGAAAATACATTTGTAGTACTGCATTGTACTTACCAAAAAAAGAAAAAAAAGCATGTTGAGGTGGATCTGTGCAGTTTAAACCCATGGTGATCAAGAGTAAACTATGGGGCAAATTAAAGAATCACATAACCTGGAATATCATGGAAATCAAAATCACAGAGAAATTTACTAATGTGGAGTAACTACTTGATTAATTTATAGAGGATGAGTTTCAAGCTATGTTAAAACCAGGAATCTTATTATTTTACTGGCACAAACATTAATATAAAATGACTTGTATTGACAAACAAGTGCTATCCCATTTACTTTATTTAATATATAAAATGTTTTCCATCAGCACATTATATGCTAGTTAAGCTGTTAAAGTTATTAAAATGTTTCCTTTTGTGATTAACCTCTTGAAAACTTGTTTGTATAATTAATTTACTAAGGAAAACTATTTCACATAGAGAATACAAGGGTTTATTCCATCCACTCCTTTCTGGAATTACTAATCAGAGACAGAGAAATTAATCCAATGTTATATTTCATAAAAGGGGATTTCATTGAGAGTCATAGCACCAATCAAGTTGTAATGAGGTTACTCAGAGAATCAACAGATAGAACTTGAGTGCTTAATACATGCCAGGTACTGAGCTTGACGCTAGGCACTGCCATCTATTAAATTACTCTGAGCCTTGTGTTAAATAGAACATTAAAAATTACAGACTAGGTGTAGATTCTGTGTCCTTAGATTATTATAGTACTCTGTAAAAAACCTTTTGCAGGTTGAACTACAAGGAAGGGTAGTACTGCAAAAAGGAATGTGACCATTCAAAACATGTTTTATGTAGAATCTGAAATTGTATCCCATCCTTTAGCATGATATGACCAGATTACACATGTTAAACATTTCTTTAAATGTTATTTTTAGTAGAACTTTATAGCTGATAGCTATGAAAAGTACTATGTGTCAGGCATTATGTTTAATCCGTGTGTGTGTGTGTGTGTGTGTGTGTGAGAGAGAGAGAGAGAGAGAGAGAGAGAGAGATTTGGAATCAATTATTCAGGAAACTTATTCTTATTTTCAAAATGTCTATTATTTGTTAACTCTTGATCATAAAGTAGAAAAGAGATATGAGAGATTACCTTCTTTCCCCACCCCCTAGGCAAATACTATTTCTCCCCACAAATTGATAAAACCAGACAAAAATCTGGCCAAGACTGAGACAATTCACTAAAACCAGTTCTGTGATATTAGAGCTCTTGCTGTTATCTATGTGTGATGATTATATGATTTTTTATTTCATGAATCAAACCCCATGAGAGGCTTGGGAAAATCTAATGTCTTATATGAGCAGAAGAAAGATGCATGCCTTTTTATTTGGAAGAGATGAAGAAGATGGTAATGGATCAAAAGGAAATTTAATAAACTGGAATTTGGGGTAAGAAAATGGCAGTATAAAGGTGAAGAAAAGAAAAGGTATGGTAGAAATACAAAAAAAGATACACTTTGGTGTCACACATTCACAGAGACAGAGGCCCCTTTAATAGAACAAGAGATAGGACATGAGAGTATTAATCATATAGCTACAAATCACTCCTTTATTCTTTCCCCCAGTTGGCAAAATGAAACACTCATAAAATAATAAAATATACAATAAATATTCCCCCTGTGGGGTCCATTCCTAAGGAATTAATTGGTAAAAAACACAAAAAACAAAAACAAAACACAACCCTCTACCATAGACAAGGCTCTGTATAGGGTTCTTTACATTTTATGAGACTGACACGCTACCTACTGTGCTAATGAGGCACCTGGTTCTTTACATTTTAATCAGTACATGCCATAACTTCTTCCAAGTTAAGATCACACTTGATCAACACTTCATTGTACATGAATTTTATACAGTCTCTAAGGATTTCAAATCAATTAGAAAGCAGGTAGGTCATTCTTACCTAACGTAAATGCACATGGGAGATAAAGATAAAATAATTTTTAAACAAACTTACTGAATCTGTGCCATTAATTAAAACTATGTAAATTTCCTCTCTTAGAACTGTCACGCTGCCTTCTTCACTTCATCTGGAATGGTGAATACACATTGTGTGAGACAATAATTGGCTTTTTTGGTTGTTGTTGTACAATATGTCTCAAATCATAGCACTACTTGCAAATGGATTTAATGAGCATAAAGCATGTTCCCATGCTCTGCATCCAAAATGTCATCATATCTACTCTCTCTCCTTTTATGATAATTTTAACTGGAAAAAAAAATAGAAAAAGGCAACAAATTTTCCGGCATGTATGTGGCAGTATAATTGACAATTACCTTAATGGAATTAATTTCTTGTATGATGCTTAATGAGGTTTAGTATACCAATTCAAAAGCCCAGAACAAAATATTTTCCACAGCCTTTCTGGCACCACACACAGTCAAACTCTCAGTGCCGTCACATCCAACTATAACATCACGATCCTTTATCATCATTGTCATCCTGACTCTGGTCAATCAAACTCACCAGGCCTGAAATAACAAAGTCGACGGCTATAATGAAGCTCTAGAAGTCACCTTACTTGTAGGTATATATTCCAAGAAAATAGGGAACAATAAGGCAGTTGAAAATCAATGCAATAATATGACTGAAGCAACAAAAAATAATTTTACATGATACCTTTCAGTTTGTCAAAACTGGATGCAGTGAGAAATGGAAAACCATGACACATTCTCTAAACCACAATGATTACTGCATAGTATCAATATTTGTCTTCTGGTCTTTTCCTCTTAACTACTACTGCCATTTTGTCCCCTCCATCTAAAATCATAACCCCCTTTCCAGTGCTTCTCCTCATAACCTCCATAACATCACTGACACACTTCTCTTGGGGATACACATTTTGGTACTATTTCCAATTCTTTACTGTCATCCATTGCCCACACTAGACTGTAAAATCTTTCAGGGCCAGAACCTAGTTTAATTTGTGACATTCTATGTGTTGCCTACCAAGAGCTGAATCCCCGTAATTTCTTGAGAGCAGAGTCCTGATTACATTCCAGGTGCACCCTCATACACTGTGTCATCCAGGGGGAGATAATAGCTTTCTTGGTCCAAGGTAAACCGTGGATTGTAGCTGAACATTATAACGCCTTTCTGTTTCCAATGATTGCTTTAGTCAGAGGTGTTAGACACAACACCGGCTAATAAAAAGTAAGGGGAAGCCTTCTGGGTGGCTTCTGGAAAAGGTTTATTAAGCTTTTAAACAAGAATCAAAGAGGGGTTGGCCACTCCTTCTTCAGAGACTTTTGAGTTTTCATGTGATCTCTAACTGTGGAAATGATTTAGTAACTGTGAAGAGAGTTTGCTAGACACACTAAAGATAGAAAAAAAAAACTGGCTTCTTGCTTTTATTAACTGCTGACCCACCATCCCTGGAGTTATATCTTCTGGGTATGAAAGATAATTGATGTTTTTGGTTGTTTACACCTCATTGGTTGGAGGTTTCTGATATTTGCAGTCAAAGGTCTCCAATGGAACACAGATTTTTCCACTTTACTGAGCAAGTCCTTAATATTGTAAATGAATAATTAACTCTGGTTTCAATGCAGAAGGTGAAAAATTTACAAAAATATCTTATGCATATGACAATCACTTTATAGGACTTCTGAAATAGCAATTGCAATATCAACTTCCAGTGTTCAGGGTTCTAGTAAGTCTAATGTATTACAAAGATGATGGGTTGAATCCACAAAGCATTTACCTTTTGTCTTATTAACAATAAATTTCTAGATTGAGGAAGGAAAAAAGCAGAATATTCAATTCCTGCTGCTTCATATTTGCAGTACTGAATGTAAGGCACAAGTTAAACATAAAAAGAAATCTAACTTATATTTCTATCTTGATTTAGATATGAAAGGATAAAACATTAAAAGTGCTTATAAAGTTCCCTTCCTGACATTCAAATTTAATGAATACTCTCTTGATTCTTAATAGTGTGGTTCATTTTTCAAATAAAGAGCCCAGAGTTGTGGAGAGCACCAGGTGAGGAAGGATATTATACCACGTTCTTCACAAAGCAAATATTGCACACTGCTCATTTCAGGTTCTCTTCCTGTCAAATGTCATCATCTTTCTAGATTATTACCAAGCAGAAAGAGCCTGTTTATGTGACAGACAGCACTGAAATTTTGTTTGCAGCCAGAGGCTAAGTAGAAAATTGAAAATACACAGGTGTAAGAAACAGCTTTCTGATTTCTATGCAAATCTATCTGTCCCACATGAGTTTATTAATCAAATCATTATTTTTGTCAGGTTACCCATGAGTTCTCTCAGAAGTTTTCAAAAATAAATGATCAAAGATAACCAGAAAAAAAAAAAGTCAGGAAGAATGATTTGACCAGAAATAAAATATGTACAACTACAATATTCCCCTCAAGAAAATATTTTCCTCCAGCTAAAAGTATAAACAAGAATCCATCAATAGTCATAGATCTCTTATTTTACATGAAAGGTGAAGGAGCTAATGAATAATTAAAACTTAAAGTGTTCATACCTTTTGACCCATTGATTCTATGACAGGAAAGCTATTCAAAATTATTAGTGCAGAAAAACGATTTTTAGTAAGATGTTCGTTACTGCGTTGTAATAAAACACTTTGCCATCAAAATAATTGTCAATTGATGAGTGATATGGTAAAGAAATTGCTGGTAGACTGTAAACTTGCTGAGGACATGACCAAATCCATCTTCCTCACCTTCAGCTCTTAGCACATTGCCTGGTATAGAGAAAATTCTCAGGAATCTTGATTCATTCACTCACTCATGCATTACCCTTATTCATCCAACACCCAGGTATCAAGCCTTATATCCCTCCCGCAAATCATGCCAACCATTGGTGATTGGACTGTATGAAGGAATTTTGTCTTTAAGAGGTTATTGTCAGTGATGCAGTTGGGGAAGGAAGGAGGAACAACACACAAACGCTGAGATGAAGAGCTCATCCTCTGCAGGTGTCTGATGGAGTAGACGGTGGAAACCATGTTGTTGGTTTTTTACCAATGGAAATAAACAGAAAAGTAATATAAGTTAAAAGAAAAAATGGCAGAATTCACTTAGATTCAACCATCAAGAGGAAGTTGATCAGGATGCCTGAGAGGACTGGTCACATAGGTGGGAAGACAGATCCCTACCGGTCACAAAGTCAGGGAAGGGGAAGGATTTGAGGAGCTGGATGAAAAAAGGGGCCCAAGAAATACGTGAATGAATGTCGCAAGGATGTGAGAGAACATGATGTTGGAGAAAAGGCTTCTAAGGGTTTCCATTTGTAATGGACATTTCTTCATGTTGGAATACTTCTGGATTGGCTTTTTACTAGGTTCTCCTGCTCTTCCTTTTTGATTTGTGATAGAGATGGAGATGAAAGGTCTTGGAGGCTGGCTGATTGCTGCTGCTAAGACCCAGAGTCAGTTCGATGTTCAGAGCTCAATGCAGGAAGTTCTCATGGTGCACAGCAGCACGGGGAGCAGGATGGCTCTGAGGTCTACTATCCAGAGAAAAAGAAGGCCTATGTGAATGAAGCAGCACTTTAGGAACACTTCCCTGTTACTCTATTTACTCTTCATCTGAAAACATATTGGAAGGGGCAACAGGAGTCAATTTCAAAAAATAGTGCATTTTCTGGAATGTTGATAGGTAAAGAATCATAAAGAGAAAACCAAGTCGTTTAATTTACTTTGATTTTCACACACCACCACTGTTTTTAGCTTTTTCTTTTTTGCTTTGTTATGTTTTTAACACAGTGAAAAGAATACGATAGCACAGAATGATCTGGTATTTGCTCAGAAATGAAATTGTAGAGCATGTCTATAAAGGGTTTATGAATATACAACATTCCTCAATAGCAATCATGTTAAATATTCTATGAAGCATTATCATAAATATGAATATATTAATTTAATTTTCACTTATGAATGCATTTGAGAAACATTCATTTACAGCTTATCTATTACCCAATTATGTCATTAATAAAATACATGCATGTGGATGTTTCTGTATTTTTCGGTGAGTCACAAAGGACATAAATATGAAATATTGAAACCAAAGCAGCTTCCATGGGCTCTTCCTCAGAGCTTTGTGTACTCATAATAAAGTCCTATAATTTATTTTAAAGGCAGGGCATGAGGAGTTCAAAAGTTTAACAAGACTGTGGCTTTCAGAATATTAGACACAGCAAACCAATATAATTGCTATACCCCACAGCCCGAGTCAATTCAGGCAAAAAATAAGTATTTTTATCATAACATTTCCTTTCTCAGAGACTAAATAAGTTTCAATTACATATTTTACATTCTGTACTTCTGTGTTTGACTTTAATAAAAATTCTGAAAAACAAACTGAGGGTTCTAGAGGGGAGGGGGTGGGAGGATGGGTTAGCCTGGTGATGGGTATTAAAGAGGGCACGTACTGCATGGAGCACTGGGTGTTATATGCAAACAATGAATCATGGAACACTACATCCAAAACTAATGATGTAATGTATGGTGATGAACATAACAATAAAAAATTTAAAAAATAAAAATAAATAAAAATTCTAACAAGTTCAATATTCATCATCAAATATAATAATCACACATGCCATTTATTTCTTGGGCCATTTTTTAGTGGACTTAATATTGGGATTTAATATATTAGACATATTTAGCACAAAGAAAAAACCAATTGCCTGAAAAAAACAAGACATTCAATCAGAAAATTACTCTTTATAATTGTGTTCTAATCATAATATATGTGAACCAAATCCGTGGGGCACTAGGAAGATTCATGCATCTTGAAAACGTATCAAATTTTTGGCACAAAGACCATTTTCTCATGGAATCTGGGCTTTTGTATAGGACAACTGCTTAGAAAAAGACTACTTGCTAAAGTCAAGGTGTGTTCAAGTGCCTTTATATCATCTAAATACATTCCTATGTATTCTAGTATTATATACTGAAATGTTACAAATTTCGTATTATCCATATCCTATGAATTTAATTATTTATCTCCAAATTATATCACATGCCAGGAAGGAAGGAAGGAAGGAAGGAAGTAGGGAAGGAAGGAAGGAGGAAGAAAGGAAGGAAGGGGAAAGGAGGGAG